ATTGAGCTGGGCCTTAAAACTAGTAGTAGAAATAAATTTTACAGTGCTGGAGGGGGGCTTGAGCCTGTTAAAGCCCCCCAGTAGAATCGCCCCTGACATGAAGCAGAGGGCCACTGCCCTTGGCATGCCCAAACCAGTAGTCGGCGTGTCCGTTTTTGGGCATCTCCCTCGGAAAACATACTTCACCTTCTCCGTACCTCTGTTTCTCTTGACGAAAAATCAGCGTCCACGAGAAAGGAAGCGCAAAACACAACAGAGGCATTAAGGTCGGTCCCCAAACCCCAGCGGCCGCGAGACTCCGGCCGTCCATGATCACCGGAGAGCTGTCCATGGCCGCCCTCCTACCTTGCGCCCGCGTCGCTCTGGCGCCGTCCGTCTCCGTCGCCGGCAGCATTGGCAGCTCGTCGCTGCGCTGGACCCTGCCCGTCCCCTCGCTGCGCCGGCGCGGCAGCCCGACGCTCAAGCACGTGGTACGCGCCAGCAAGGGCGCCGCGGATCAGCCCGACCCGCCCGCAGACCCGGAGGGGGACGGCGGCGACGAGGAGGAAAACCCCAAGGTGAATGAGTCCTGCTAAGTAATTAGCCGTAATTTCTCCCTTTACCTAGTACTAGTACTGCCAGGACCTGACATGAGGGGGTTTTTCCTGAAATTTTACTACTCCTACATTGGTTGCTGCTGTGACCTAAGGGAATATTCAAGTTCTAATTGAAACCTCCTACTGCGCTTTCGCAAGTTAACAGTAAATTTCAGCTGCTCCTATACTAGATTTTTTTTGTTCTTGCTTTATTCGGCTAGCATACATAATTCCTGGAGAACCACATCACTTTTTTTTTTGCGGAATCTGGAGAACCACATCACATCACACAGGTTAAAATCTTGGTGCATGCCCTACCCGAGGATTGAATTTTGTGTTCATGGGTTGTGCCGTCGAATCGTTCTCCTCTTCTGGAACAACATGTTCCTGTGGGCTAACCTTCCCTTTTGCCCAAGTTGTGTCTGTGTGCTTCCCTTCGTTCAGGGCAGCGTGAGGTGATACCAGATCGCCTTGTATCTTGGTGGTTTGGGCAATCTTGAGAGAGGAAATAGCGACTGCCGGAACTTTTTTCCACCAAATTTTTTCATCCAGCTTTAGCCAGTAGGTTAATGGGGAGTGTTCTTCAGTTATAATGCTGCTTTTGTGCTGCCCGACTTTGGTGGTCTGGTGCTGGCCTGGGCCGGTTCCTCTGTTTTTTGGGTCGCTTGATCGTTGTTTGTAATGTACTGGGACTTCTTCCCCTGTTCTTTTCTCCTTCTCTATAATAGACCAACTCAGTAGCTTAATCGTGTTAAATGGCCATCTAATCCTACATTTAAACATTTTAAAACTACTGCTACCCTACTTAATGGAGTTTCAGTGTGATATGAGTAGGGGGCAAGAGTTGCTGGGATTCAATCCCTGCCTATAGCATGTTAGAACCACTAGGATCTCTCACCAGGATCACGCACACTGACACACATGCGCACAGGAGTAGTATGAAGCTCTGTAGGTTTGTCAATAGGGCAAGCTTACATTCTTTCTACTCTCCGTCCCGAATTATTTGTCTTAGATTTGACAAGTAATTCGGGACGGAGGTAATACATATTGGGGTGCCTCTTATATAGGCTATAGGGACGGTGCTACATGGACCGACCCGCTACATTAACCAACCTAGACAGATCACAGCCGAACTGTGCCATACTGTCTTTCATACAAGCAATGCATCAAACTCAAATTGACTTCTTGCTCTTCCATGCTTGCATCTCTTTGGTATATAACAAGATTAATTCTTAATATGGTAGAAAATAATGAAGTAACATAATTGTTTCCCTTCTCTTGTGTTTTTTCTTTTGGGCCTTTGTCACACAAAGTAGAGTGAATGTGCCTTGGTGCTACTAAAGATGAGTGCTTATTTTGTTGTTTGTGATGATCCTGAATTCCTGATGTCTAAAGTTATCATTGTTTTACTTCACAAAATTGTTTCTATGTACTGTTTCTTTCCTTTTTCTTTATAACATTTCTATGTTTGCTTCGGTGCAGATGGTGAACGCCGAAGAGATTTATGCAGAACTCGAGAAGTTCAAAGAGGAGTATGCAGCAAAGAAGGGTCTTCCTTACAAAAAAAGAGATGTGGTTAGTTTGCCCATATTTAAATTTTGTTTTAGGATGTAGCTGCTTTTGTTATTTATCTTCGGCAACTGAACAATGGTGGCTCAGTTCATATATCTGGCTACTATTTTATTGAACTTAATTCCGGTCTTGGTCACAAAGCTAACATACTGTACCATAATTTGAAGGGAAATGACATGTAGATTGAATTTATGCACAGACAGCAGGCATGTTGTTTTATCGTTTTATAAGTGATCAAATCTTGCAGCACAAACAATCATTCAATCCAACAATGGTGTTGTTAAATTTCATACTAGTCACAGCGTGTAGAGGGTATGCGCACATATGTAGTGGTGTGAGTGTTGTGTGCACATATATTGTGGGTGCGCCTCGGACTTTTTAAGTTCATAGTAGGAGCATCATAAGTTTTTATTTCTGCCTTGTTGGTTAAACAACTAAAGAACGATGGAAATTAATAAAACTTTCTATCAGCAATCTATCCATTGATTGTGCATATGAGATCAGTGGCGATTCCATGTGTAAGCTGTGGGGTCAGCTGACCCCACAGCTTTTTTGATTGCAAGCCTATTTCTATTAATATTTGTGCAAAAAACTAGGACATTTTAAAGAGTTTAGTGCATTTGAACCCACAGCTTTTTGGTGCTGGCACCGCCGCTGTATGAGATTATGTCGGAACAAACTAATAGCACAACATGTGTTGTTGAGACACAAGATTGCGGCAGCTTCATGCCGCCTTAAGGAAGTCTAATGATCCTCCTACTTCCCATTTCTTTACATTGCTTGAGAGTACAAGGGTTTCTGCACTTGTACATAAACATCACAATAGCTGGTAATGTACATGTCATGATTTGATCATCTTATCCTTGTAGCATTATTTGCTTCCAGTCTAAAGCTTTGGGTGAAGGGGGGTATCTATTCGAGAAGTCCCAACCATGTTCCTTTTCTGTAATTATGGACAGTGTCGACGTTGAATTTCCTCCGATATTATGATGGTGTTGTGTGTTGTGAACGAGGGTTGAGATGGGGTAGGATCTTGAGGGGGTGTTGTCGGGGACAACAAAGACACGGTGTTTACCCAGGATCAGGCTCCCAAAAAGGGTAATGGCGTCCCACCACCAGTTTATATTGATATGAGGGTTTTAAAGAGTACACGAATTATATTGCATCTACAAATTAGCTAGGTCTTGCGAGAATGGCTTTAGCCTTCGGCAGGGGTCGAGCCCTTATCTAGAGATATCTTCTTGGGAAACAAGTCTTCAATCTTTGCTCTTTGGTATGATGTGCTATGAGTCGACCTCCTACCAAACTAGGTAAGTTATCTCCTAGTTACAACAGGATCTAGGAGTTAGCATGTCCATCATTATCTCTTCTTCAAGTACTTACCAATAGTCAGCACTAGTTCCGACATATAACAAAGCTAGTATCCTGAATATTGATAGAAATGTATTTATATCCTTGTTAGTGACCTAGTCCACTTTATGAATAATTAACTCTTTCTGAAAGTTAGAAAACAAATGTTCTTTTGAGATTTAATAGAAATGATTCATAATCTCAGTATGGAACTAATGTGTTCTTTTTCAACGGATCAGACTGATGAGATGTTCTACAACGAGAAGTGGAAAATATATAAGTATATTCAGGAGATGATTTCTTCCAATCCAAGCATTTTGGTTAGTTATCTTTATTGCATGTTTGTTATAATTTACGGAAATATTCTTTCTTGTGCATTCTGGTAGTTTTCTTTCTTGCATGTTCAATCAAATTTATGGAGCTGTTCTTTCAGATTCTAGTTTATAGAAAATAACTTTGTATTATGGGCAGATAAGCCAGAAGCATTGCCATTTTGTTTCTTTCATTTGTGATACCGATACCCTATTTTTGTCGAATACAAGTAGTACATGTGCAAGCAACATCTAACTATAGTGTAAAGATCTGTCAAAGGAATGAAAAAAAGTATCAATAGGAATTCAATAAAATGATTTTACATTCCCAACTCAATATTAAGTATTGACTAAAAGTATATGAGTTGGGGAAAAAATTCCGCTGCTGTTTTTTTTTTAAACCGACCTAACTTCTGTAAAACTTTAGCATGAACACTTTGATTTAAAATTCTTGATTGATTTACGCAACAACGTATTTATAGATATGAAACACTTGACATCATTAGGAACCCAATTGTCTTGCATGTGGATCATTGGATTAGCTTATCTGATCTTGGGCCTTAATGTTTCTTTTGAATGAACTACTTATGATTTCTAGTATATATAATGACATTTGTCCACTCCAGTCTTCCTCCCTTCTTATAAATAATATCAAGTATGTGTGTGGAATCCATGTAAACAGAAAAAGTGAAAGTTGAAGCAACAGAAAACTTGATTTTATATCACCTCAACTGAGGTTGGTGGGTCACGGACATTGATGAGTCATTACATTATTGATCATCAATATTTAGTTTTTGGGTTTAAAAACGTATTATCATCATTTTGGTGTTGTCAACGAACAGTTCCAATTGTTTATTAAGATACATAGTGCTAATCTAACTTTTAAAATTGTGCTATTATACATTGAGTCAGGGGATAACTGGTACAGTACTTTGGAAGCTAAATACTACTCCCTGCGATCCAAAATAAGTGTTGCAGTTTTGAACTGAGGTTGGTTCAACCTTAGTGCAAAACTGCGACACTTAGTATGGGTCGGAGGTTGTATTAAGGTTGGTGTGTCGGAACACAGATGAATCATAGCAAACCAGACATGTTGTTATAAATGAGGTTGGTGTGTCGGAACACAGATGAATCATTACATTACTCATCGTTAGTATTTAGGTTTTGGGTTTAAAGATGTATTCACAGCACTATGGCGTTGTCAACGAACGGCTGCGATTATTTCGTAAGATACTTGGTGCTAATCTAAATACAAAATTGTGTTTTTATACATCTGCTCCTTTGGAAGCTTCCTTGATGTTTTAGAAAAGAAGCAAAGATGTCTTAGTGTGTGCTACAGTTAAGGATCTGGCTCTAGAGGTGTACGCAACTTTCACTGATTGTTTGTTAATTGGGTGAAACTTGTAGCATGTGGAAACCGCCCTGTCTCAGGAACTGTGCATCCAGGCTGGTGACGCTCTGGATTTGGCTAAAAATATCGTGGTAATTTCATATTTTTCCGCAACTCTCTTATAACTACTTGGTGTGTACCTTTTTTTCCTTTCATTGTGTCCTCGCAGTTAACTATTTTTCGTGCGTTCAGTATAGTGCATCTTACAGGCTCAAGCGGCCAAGTGAAATTTCCGTGAATACAACGGAGCAGGTACTTAATCTTTTTTGTATCCATAAGGAAATGTTTTTATGTGTCTAGGAGTAAATTGCTTGTGGGGTCCTTGAACTTTCAATAATGTATTACAAAAGTGCATGCTTTAGCATTATATTTTGATTAAGGATGGGTCATTTCTGTACTCTGTTTTTTCCCTCTGCTATATGCATTGAATTACTCACGATTTCACAAAACACAGATGGTTCGGATCTATGCTTCCACCTTCATGAAAACCGCCGAGGACGTCTACCATGGGAAGACCAACACGGCAACCCTCTGTTATTATCTCGACGCTCTCGGAGGTTTGGCTGCGATCAGCCACATCTTATTCGTCGACACTCTAGACGCCGTGAACGATGTACTGCTCGAAGACGGTAAACCGAAGCACAGCCCCGACGTCGACGCAGAGGCTGCTTACCGCAGGTTTGAGCAGAAACTGTCTCTTCCGGAGCGGAAGGTTTGGGCGAGGGGTTTACTGTTCAAACCATGCGAGGTACGTACAGATATCTACATCTAGTTATGAAACAAGCCATTCGATCGCTCCAGGCCTTCTATTTTATTCCCCAAACGCATGTCGCTCTGAATGCCCGGGTTCCGCGCTTCTTATTGCTGCTGCTGTTGTTACCCCCTGCAGATTCTGGAGCAGATAGTCTGCCCTGCGACGAAGCACACGAGGCAATTCATTGCACAGATGATTCGGCTGCGCAAGGATGCGCTGAACCAAGTCCCAGGTACGCTGGCTGTTTTTATTATTCTCGAGATATCGAGCCTGGACTGGAGAGTTTCTTCGTGATTTGGTGGCAATGTCGTCGCTGATTTTCATCCTCTCTTCCATTGTCGCAGATGAGCACAAAATTCGATCGGACCGGCTCTGACGAGAACTATGTTAGTACTACATGCTAAGCTTAGATGCATGTATTGTTTCAGAAGGAATGGTGTGCCAGTGATCAGATCATGTGCTAAGGCCTGTGTAACCTCTATTCAGCGCCTCCGTTATGCCGGATTTCTCTTGAATTGTCGTAGTTTCATACAGTATATCCTTCTGTTGGGGAATTATGTGTTAAGTATACTACTTAAGATTACTTTTCGGATTTGTGTGATTAATCGAGTATGCCCTTTTATATTAGTTATTAAGTACTCCCTCCTCCCCCAATATGTTGGGCGTATTAGAATTGAGCACGAAAATTAGCGCATCCTCCGTTACAGTTTGCTTGCAATGGAATCAGCAATCTGAAGAGAACAGGGGTGCACTGGGCTGGTCTTTTTGCTTCCTCGCACGGTTGCTGTCCTCCAATATGTTGGTGGTTACTGTCTGAGGACACAACGGGGATTTCTTTAGTTAGTTGTATGTATGTATATATATATAGCCCCTCCAAGGAGTGGACACATGCTTTTATTTCATAAAATTTGATGTAGAAGTTTGAAAAAATCATGGTGGGTAGGGGGCGCCCCCTAGAGGGTACACAAGTTCCTTTGCCTCTGCGCCCCTCTCTAGTTCAATTTGATCAGACTAGATCCTAATCCTCGTAACAGAGAAGCCACATGAGGTTCTCTTCTCCCTCCTTTAATTTCCCGGTGCCGATTAGCTCTGGATGGCGAAGCGCTGCCGGATCATGAAGCTTGTACGCTTGCAATTTGTAGAGAGGTCGTGCTTTCGGTCTTTTGTCTGAAGGATCGTCGTGGACGGTTCGAGGGACTTCAAGAACGATCTACACCAACTCTTCTTTCAATGCAACTCAAAGTTGGTTGATTTGATCCAAATCCGTGTTCCTCAAATCGTGATCGCAAGACATTTTTGTTTTGTTTTCTACTACGTTTTCCAACACCGGAAATATTTGCCATTGTGGTTAAGGCTCTGGAATCGGAAAGGGAAGGGGTGATTGCGCCGGGGCAAGGGAGATGAAGGAATGGTAAAAGATGATTCACCTTGACTCTAGCTTTACTAGTAGAATGCCCGTGCGTTGCCACGGGCATTTTAAAAATCTGTCCTGTTCATCATGACCATGTTCTGCTGCAAAAAAAAGGTTTATGGATATATGATATTCATCACTGCAATTAATGCTACTAAATTTCCTGATCCATCAAACCATGGTAATGAATCTGAGTTCAATGCCCATGCGTTGCCACGTGCTAACAAAGTCTACAAAGAAAAATGTTGTGTGACATTGGAGTCATTGACTATCCACATGGGATGATACTTCATGGTCGTCATGTGGTAGACAATTGTGTCTCATTATTGCCTTCCTCTCCTCCATTTTCTCGGCCTCATGTGGTAGACAAATGTGTCTCATTATCGCCTTCCTCTCCTCCATTTTTTCGGCCTCATGTGGTAGACAAATGTGTCTCATTATCGCCTTCCTCTCCTCCATCTTCTCGGCCACCACGTGACAATTTGCTTCCTTCCTCCCACTGTCCACCAATCCGTGTTTTCTCCCCCCTACCTTGCACAGTTATACTAAGAATCTTGTTCAACTCCAAACAATCTTGTCCATTTGGCCATCTCATAGATTATAGATGACTCACACATGTCGGTTATTCCAATATTGTGACATTGGCAGAATCAACGCACTAAACATGTGATTGTGACCGGGCCTGGTTAGCAGTTGAAACATGCCTAAGATAAAGAAATGTTTACTCAAAACAGATATTTCCAGGGATAATTTTTTGAAGGAAAGGGAGATATTTGGGTTCATCCCAAATTACCGCATATATCTTATGGAACAAATTTCATCAACTCGGCTTCTAAAATAGGACTTCTTATTTGAGGAACATAGAGTTGAGAAATAATAGAAAAACGATGTTATATATACTCCATGATGGCCTTTCTTTTTATGGCTACAATAGTTCTGTGAAGCAAATAGTGAAGCCTGAATAGCATGAGATTATTCCTTTTAAAAGGTAAGTCACATGACACCTAGAAATATATTTTTCCTTCCTCTTGGACACAGAATAAGCCAGGTCATTGTATATTGAGGAAATAAACTAATATAACTACAAACAATAACCTTCTCCTTTGCACAACAATCAATATTAATATATCGTTATGACATTATGCTAACAGGGTCTTGGGGGTGGCTGCCGCCCATGCGTCACCCCAACAGGAGCCTCCCCGGTGCAGCCTTGGACTTGGCTGCCTCATGCAGCACAACCGCCTCATTGCCGCCCCACCTCGCGCCACCGCATATATCTTATTAGGTTAGCACCGATCGCGTCAAACATGTACCATTAGGATCCGCACGCACATCAGACGCTATTGTCGATTTTATACCTTCTTCCTCTCCAACTATCTTCTCATCTTCGCATTTCTAATCCAAACTCGCCATCGTCGTTGATGGCGCAGCCGGCTCGCAACCTGCCATAAAGTTAAATTAAGAACAACACAAATAAACAAGCATTTAGTCCGTCGATCTCATCTCATGATCCAAGTGGCCAAGCCCATGTACAACGCACATCAACAACAATTCAAACACTCGCTCGTTGACGGATAGTTAGTACAATGTCTCCATTATTACTACCACTACACCTGTATTGCTATCGAATATATAGAGATATTTATATATAGTTAGAAGCAGGTGTGTTGCTATAACTCTTAAATCAATATGACGTTAATATGTATTTACACTCTTCTCTCAATCTTCTAAAACAAAATTAATTAAGCAGTGAATTTTGAAAAAATATATGAGCACAAATTATAATCTTAATCCTGCCATACTGTTTTATGTTCTTTGAAGATGATCAACACTAATAGTGAATTTGGAACATAAGAAAAGTTGAGGAACGTCAGGCACTCTCCAGATTCTTTGCTCATGGCCTACAGACAAAATAATAACAACTATTCAAATAGAGAGATCAAAGTTTAGAACTTCAGACCGCCAATGTAAATGTTTCTTAAGGATGGTATAATTTGAAATTATGGCCTCAATGAAAAAGCTTTCAAGGTATTCACACATGGCCTACAGTACATGGCTTTTGTGAGTGCACGCTTTGCGGACCTTTCATTTTATTGATCAGTCACAACAAGAATGATATGATTTTTTTTAGTTGTTCCAACTAACAAAAAATGAGCTTCTTGAATAGGTGAAGAATTTATGACAGAAAAGGAGATAAGGGCAAAGCAAACTGGAATGAGCCTTGATTAGGTAGAAGGAAACCCCAAACAGAGTTGCTACAATCTGAAAAGGCTCTAGGTTGGCACAATCCTATTTAGATACTGGGACCAACTTGCGAGGATTCACCTATCTGGATATATATGGCATAAAACATTAACTACATGATTATTTTCCCATGAAGTTCTGTACACAACTTACAATAAAATAGCTCGGTTCATCTACACTAATTTTTGCTCAGATCAATGGCGGCATGTGACAGAATGGTACACATAGCCTAAGCAAGAGGATTGAGAATAATCCAAAGTGGAAGGCAATACACCAACCATTAATCAACCAAGAATAGTCAAAAAAAATTTAAGAGCATGTGCCATACTCATACCAAATGAAGAAAGATTGAAATGAGAAAATGTTTTTCTATGAAGGAACCAAATTAAGACAACATGAATGGATAAAGTAAGAGGATTGGTCCTTTGTAAAGAAGAATTGGGAAGGAAGTACAAATCTAACCTTGGAATGAGGATTGATTATTCTTGTCTATCATCCGAACAAAGCATTTTCTCAAAGCTTTCTCTGCAATGTAGCGCGCTAGCACTCTACAATGCAAAAAATATATCATGAATATATTAGTATGTGAATGTGAATAAGATAATTAATATGAACTCATGTATATGCATTAGATACTTGCTAAAAAAGGAGAAGATAAAACAACAATCAAAACCGACACACATATTCTTTAGAATAAGATAAGGTTGATTGAATAGTATATAAATGTCAACCGGCTTTTTATATCTATTCTACAATATGGGTCAATTCTGACAAGGATCCAAGATAATTGAAAAAAGGAATGCACGAACAAAAAAGGGAATGCACAAAATTTCACATCAATTTAGAGGAAATACTTAAGAATGATGAGGAAAAATATATATATATGAATAGCTCACATTTTAAAGCAGGCAGGCACACCTATTCCACAGAGTTTTAGTTTTAGGGAGCTTGTAAAACTAAAAGACGTAAACTGTTTTAAACATGTACTATCTTTGGGAAGCTTTAGGAATGTTGTGTATTAAGTAAGAGGCAGGAGTTGTGTATTAAGTAAGGGAATGCACAAAATTTCACATCAAATTAGAAGAAATACTTAAGAATGATGAGGAAAAAAATATCTATATGAGTAGCTCACATTTTAAAGCAGGCAGGCACACCTATTCCACAGAGGTTTAGTTTTAGGGAGCTTGTAAAACTAAAAGACGTAAACTGTTTTAAACATGTACTATCTTTGGGAAGCTTTAGGAATGTTGTGTATTAAGTAAGAGGCAGGAGTTGTGGATGTTTAAAAAATAACCCCTGAAAGAAATATGTGTCTAAACAGATAGGAAATCAAGGTGCTCATGTTACCTTTTGAAGGTAGAAAATCACATGTAAAGCAAGAAGTGAGATATAAGGGATCATATGCATTGATGCTTTTTTATAGGGTGCACTACTAAAATACTATGGTATAGTGTGTACGCAAATAATGGGCATAAACAATTGATACATGTAAATTATTATGTTAGAAGTATTTAGTATAAACAACCCACACAAAGTTACTGTTTTCTATCTAGTATAATGTCATACATGGAAACATGAAACTGGTACGGCTACAATCATTTAGACCTCTCTCTCTCCCTCTCCATGGCCCCTCTCTCTCTCATCATTGGTGATACAACATAAAGAAAAAAGAGAGACTAAAACACATGAGAGCTAGAGGATATACATTTTATCTACATTATAGATATGTACAGAGAAGTAACTGTGGATGTCAATGTTAATGCAACAAGGAACCTAATAGTTTTCCAATGCATATAAGTAGCCTGATCAACATAGTTTCTGAATATATATGTAACTCATTTTATTGATTAGAGTAGCCATTGTATCAGGCAGTTTTGGATCTTCTGAATCTCAAGCAAAAAAGATTGAAAACCAACTATTTCCTAAAATTACATATCAAAGAATATTCTATTTCAAATATAGATAAAGTGACATGCCAAAGCAAGCAAATTTAATAAATATGGGAGATTATTTATTTCCACAAGCTGAATGGAGCTCTCGACCAGCACTTTCTTACCATATAAGGAAGCTCATGTCTAGAGCCGCGGAAGTGCAAACGTCCAAAGATATAATATTGCGCAAAAGGGCTAGGCAAGCTTTCATGGAGTACTCGGCGTTTCAAATGTTCAGAGATGAGACATCCAAATCTGGACATCGCGTCAGTATTATCTCAGCCTGCATAAAATGAATTAAAATGTATGAGAAAGATAAAATATTCCTGAGTTTTAGGAAGCTAAGAACCAATTAATATATTTTTGGGCAAGAAAGAAGTGTATAAAATTAGAATAACAGGGTGTAGTACAATCTCAATAAATAATTTAAGCTAGGAAAAAAGAGTACATAATTCAGTCTGGTGTTTTTATTTCCATTCACAATTCATTGACATCAATTTATCTTCTCTCTTCCTTTGTGTGAGACTGCAGCTACATATTTAAGTCACATATGTACATGAGCTTTTTTACGCACATAACTAAACTAAGATCATGCTTTCGCTTTTAAATCCTGATTGGATGCTAGCATTTATTCCATGGCTCCGACATCAGTTAACCAGAAGGTTTGATACAATACAATCCATCATCGCTGCAGCAGCCGATACAATCAATTTATAATGTAAAATGGATGGATCAAGCACAAAAAGGCCATGAAAATACAGACATGCATAGATCCACCACCATTTGGAGAAAAAAATTCATCCACCACTCTCTGGAAAATTCCTTACTTACCGCGGCTCAGTGGTGACGAACACTTCCGGGCTTGGACATCCTCCAACTCGTCGGTGACGAAAGACCGGCTCATTGTGGAACCGTCGCTCCCAATAGCACAGGAGCTTCCGCGACTCCACCCCCCTCCTGTAGAGTCGCCGTTCTTGAGCGGGCCCAAGTTGGCAGCAGCCCCATCACCTAAACAAATTGAACTGTTAATGATCCAAATCATAGGCACCAATAGTAACTCAAAATGGCAGTAACGAACGCACTGGTGAATCCGAAGCCATGGAAAGAAATTAGTGAAATTCAAAAAAATAAATCTGGGACATCTCTCCGAAGTATGTTAGTATGATCCAGAATGTCTGAGAACAAAAACAATGTTGAAATGGAAATTACCCCAAATCTGCAGGTACATGTTGCTAACAACAAATTGCATGACTTATAAAATACATCAATTATGTCACAAGCTATCAGGACTTCCGAATCATAATGAGTTTCAAATTTAGTGTACATGAAGAGTCCAACCAATTAATATATGATCTAGAAAAGTAAACATGCGCATTAACTTAAGTACACTCAATCAAACTAAGCAATTGACTTCGCAAACATGGGATTATAGAGAACCCGGCAATAATAAAGAATGTTTCGGGTTTAAAAATAAGGATGATCAGGACTAACCTGCGTAAACACGTTTTAGAATGTGTCTCAGTATCTGAGTATATTCATCATTCGACATCTCCTTGATAGTTTCCAAATTTCCAAATTTCCCATGTATCGCCTAGACAGAGCTTGGGGGAGGCTCTCTTCCTCTCATATGCATCTCTTTCCTGATGAAATTATGAAAGCATATGATAAAACAATGTTAAGAAAATAAAACATTTGCAGACGTCTTTTGTGCAAGTATCTCAACTGTAACTAAGGGTGAGTTGGAAACAACATGTCTCTTACCTTGTTGTCAGGGATAGCTAGCGCCTAGTAAACAAAAATGATTTCAGTTGGAAAACATAATTTCTGGTGAAGTAGCATGATATTTGCTACCAGTCTGATTTGCTTCTATGTATTTTATTGAAGAAGAAAATCTACACCAGCACCAACCAGAACGTGGGAACGAAAAAGAAAACGAAAAAACTGTGTTGGTCATTGCCATAGCTGCAAGTCAATGAATTCTAAGATATTCTCCAACTCAAGAGGTACACCACCGTACATGCAATGCAAGCTACAATCATTATCATCTCTGAATTTTCTTAATTCACAAAAGGAGTCTATTCACCATTAGTCAGTAGAAAGGAGATACAAGTCTTATGCGTAAATAACATGATGGAAAATTAGATGCCAACCATTTATGTGATATTCAAACTTACTATATTTCCAAATTGCAAAAGAAAAAACTTTAGACAAAAGCCTGCACGGTTACCGGCTAGATCTCATATAAAAATTTATTCAGAAGCCTAGAGCGGTGATTACTGAATAGTACTAATGCTAGTGTAGAGAGAATTAACTTGTTGTGAAAAGCGGAAGAGGCTATGGCCAAGAGTTTGTTGCGCCCAAAGGGTATGGCATCCTCCCGTGGCCGACAGCAACGTGCAGTGCCCAGGATCCACCGTCCATAGCGTCCTCCTTGACGCGACAGTTCCCGCTGTCCAGCGCGCTCTCAATGCCTGGGAAAAAAATCCCGCCCAAATCAGGATCCAGCGCAAAAAAAAATAACAGACTCCCAAATCAGTGGCGATGCAGGGCATCGTCAGAGGGGCACGGATGGCACGCAGACAAAATCCATGATGCGGCCATGGCGGCACCAATCTCTGTCGGGGAAGAAAAGAACGGCGCCATCGCGTAAGAAGGGCCAGCCGCTTGACCCGATGCCTGCGAGGTCGTCGCTTTCCTCGACTCGACCCTCCATGCGATTAACGCGACCATGCCCTGCCGCGGCGTCCGTGGGGATCCGCGGCGTCTGAACAAGCACAGATTGCAAGCATACTGCATAAATGATTAGATAAGCAAACCATCAGGATTCAGGAAGCAAGAACTCACTTGGAGGAGGCCCTTGGGGAGGCCGCCGAGGAGGAGGAGAAGAAGTGGTGCGCCGGGCTGGGGCTGGGCGTGGAGAAGGGGAAGAAGGGGGACGTCGTTCAGTGCTTCTTGGAGGCCGACGTGGCGGGCGCCGTGGAGGAGGGT